TAACCTGTCTGTTCCTTAGTCATTAGAGTTCAATGTGTCAAATTATTTTTGAGGTGATCTTTAAATTCAGGTGGGATATACTGAAGGTCATATTTGGCTCTTGTGGACTTGTTTTCATTTTCTTCAGTTTCAACTGGAAATTGCATATGAGTGATTGATGGTCTGTTCTACTATCTGCTCCTGGCACTGTTCTGATGGATGATACTGAGCTTCTTCATAGTGTTGCTAAGTGCCGTCGAGTTGGTTCCAACTCATAGTAACCCTGTATAGGGATTCAGAGGAGCAAATGGTGGGTTCAAACTGCTGGCCTCATTGTTAGCAGTCTAATTCTTACCATACAGTGCCACACCATGACTATTTCTATAAATATATATGTAGAAAATTCATGTATTTCTATTTAAAAAGAAAGCAAATGTGACAAAATGCTTATTGGGGTATCTAGTTGAAAGGATACTGGTATGTATCAACTTTTCCACAGATTTGGAATTCTTTTCAAAGTAAAAAGTTAAGGGAAACAAATAAATAAGGATTAACAATATATCAAGTGAGAGTGGATAGCACAAGTAGTTTGCGCTCAGCTGATACACAGAAGGTTAGCGATTCTAACCTGTCCAGTAGCTCCGTAGAAGCCATATAGTCAAGCAAACACTATGAAGCAGTTCTACTCTGCAAGCCATGGAGTTGCCGAAAGTCGCCAACTTGATAATAGTTCTTAACAACACAACAATGGATCAAATGGGAATCCTTGGACCAGAACATGCAGCAACCTCAGCAGGACAAACTAAAAGATGACAAAGAAAGCTTGTACCAGAATCTCTCCATTTTTACTTTGGAAGGAAAAAAATGCTAATTAATCCCCCCCAAACTCAAACCCATTGCATGTGAGTAGATTCTGACTCTCAGCAACCTTAAAAGGGCAGTATAGAATTGCTCCCATGTGGGTCTCCAAGGCTACAATCTCAATGGTGTGGCATTGTAGGATCAGCACTGGACTGCCAACCACAAGGTTAGTGGTTCAAACCCACCACCTGCCCCTTGGAAACCCTTCACAGGGTGGCTATGAGTCAGAACAGACTCAACAGCAAACAACAGCTATCTTTATGGAAACAGACTGCCACCTTTTTCACCTGAAAACAACTGGTGGATTTGAGCCATCAACCTTTTGGGTTGCAATCAAGCGTTTAACCTCAGCTCCACCAGAACTCCTGGATGTCAAGTAAGAGCCAAAAAATCAACTTCCTGGAGTTTGGTTAGACGTGGCTCTACTGACCACAGAGGTTGCATTCCATTTACAGTTAAAACAGTCAAAACCCTTCAGACCTTCTTTCTTTCTCACTTCTATTTTTCCCACTTACCAGAGCATTCAAAATCAAATTAAGAAATTTACTAATAGAGTTGTTTTTCAAAACTAGGGTTCTAAAACAAAGGTAGTATTAGGCAAAAGGAGAAAACTATTTTGCCATTTGATCTAATTTATTGAACCACTGAAAAAGATTAAAATTAAAAACCATTGAAAAAAATCAATGGGATAAGAAAAAGCACAGAGAATGGAGAAGAAAAGAATCAGACTTCTAGCACTGAGTACACAAAAGAAGATGAAGTCGGTCATGGGAGCTCTGACTTCAGAATATATATTTCTATTTTGAATGCTCTGATAAGTGGAAAATGGAAGTGTGACAGAAAGAAAAGCACATACACATAGAGGAGAACAAAACCAGACAGGACCTACTGCATGTGTTCCGTTTCAAGTCAGCTGACTTCTAGACCCACTCTCCCGTCCCTGCCCCCTCGCCTTTCTTATTTTTTATCTATTAATTTCCATGCTCCTGGAGGAGACAGGAATGATGTCCCAACATTCTAAAGCACATGTCTTTCAAATAGACAACTTTCTGTAAAACAAGGAGACATCCATTTGTCTAAGAAATTTATTTTCCTGAAATGAACAGTCAGTCCCATCACGACTATTACAACCTCAACCTGAATAAAACAGATAACACACACATGCATTCATACGCTCAAATATAAAACACACACTCACCAAAAATGGCCTAAACAGAGATGATGACATGGAGAGATGGAGCAGCTGGGGACTTGGGACCCAGGGAGGGAGAGGGACTGTGTGCTGACGACCGGGGGGGTGGGGGAGGTGGGCAGTTTGGTAGAATGTGCCCTTTCATTGATTGGTGATGCATGGAGGGGATTGTAACCATGGCAATGACACAATATACGATAGAATGAATGTAAAACTAATGTTCTCCCATGTACCCATGTAAACTATCACACAATTCACAATAAAACTTAAAAAAAAAAAAAAGGCCTGGAAACATACATGTAAAACAAACCTTTAAGAAGCTTGTATGTTATCTTTTACTATTTATACCTCTTTACTGAAATGATTTAAAAGAGCATATATTCAAAGTTTATTGGAAATAAAGTGAGCAATATTCATGTTTAGTATGTACACCTAATTTGATTGTGTATTTATGATTAAGACATTGCTGTTGTTAGGTGCCATCGAGTCAGTACCAACTCATAGCAACCTTATGTACAGCAGAATGAAACACTACCTGATCCTGGGCCAACCTCACTACTGTTGCCACGGTTGAGTCCATCGATGCCACCACTTGGCCAATCCATCTCTTTGGGGGTTTTCCTCTTTTTCTCTGACATAATTTAAAATGTTTAACTATATATAGTATATATACCAATGTCACTAATTATATTCAACAAGTAAAAGAAAACAAAAAAATTCAAAAGAAAGTACAGTATTACCTCATATTGCCTCTGAATGAGAAAATGGTATTTTGTTGTTGTTTTTTATTATGAACTGAATGATAGCTTACATGGGAGAACATCGGCTTTACACCGGTTCATTGCAATGATTACAATCTCCTCTGTGCATCATCATTCAAAAGTATTTGCTTCCCATTATAATATAAAATAGATACTGGAACGGGAGAGAAAGGAATAGTCAGAAATATCACCATAGAAAGCTTGTAAGTCCATCTTCTGCCTATAACTGATTAGAATACCTAAAA